GGCATGGAGATAGAGGAATGGGTCAGAAGATACGGGTTCATGCCAGAAAACATCCTTGGGGATGCGTGAGTTTGTGTGTATTCGCGTGTGTGTGGGCATTTTGCCCCTTGGTGGTGGTTCCTAAACTGATAGAGAGTAAGAGAAATAGTGTCCTTTGACGAAAGATCCATTTCTCTGTGTGATGTACCTTCTTGGCACACAGGGTTCATGAACTCTCTGCTCATTGGTCGAGACCTGTGCTGGACCGGCTGTAGCTTGCTCCCTCAGCGCTGGCATGTGTGTCCCTTGGAAAGGCGAGGGAGGTGGAGATTGGCAGTGTGAAGCCTGGACCCTCCAACCTGGCAGGCGGAGAGTACGTGCCAGCATTCTAATAATTTCCAAGACAGGGAGCAGGTCTGTAATTATCATATCAGGTCATCTTAATTAGAACGACATAACATACTATCTAATCAGCCACTGTCCCATCTTTTAGAGACTTGTGATAGATTCAAACGGAAAAGCTTTCACTTCCTTGGTGGTGCACTTTTGGACTCTCAGCTGATGTCCTCTCTCTCTCGTCCCTTGTCAAGTGACAGGACATCAAGCCACTGGCCTGCAGTAGGGCTCAAGCCTGTGTGCTGGCCCACCTTGGTACCATTTGCCGTGCAGGGGGAGAGGCAGGGGTGAAGGTAGCCCAGGGAGAAGCCAGGTGGGGTTTGGAGGGAAGACCAGTGTTCCCCCTAGCTCACGGGGCTCCTCCTTTCCCAGGAGAGAGTGTCATGGAGGATGGAAGACCCCCACTAGGAACCAGGACACCTGGCCTTCAACCCTGGACAGCTTTCAAGTACCAGGCCCACCTGTGAATGTGGCCTGTCTCTCTGACCCTCTGTTTCTTCCTCTGTGAAACGGAGCTGGTCTGTGAGTGGAGGCCAAAGAGGGAGGTCAGGACAGAGCAATGGTTGTAAAAACAAAGCTTCTGGAAACCTCCTTGGTCCTCAAGCTGGACTGAGGGGTTTTGCTGCTGGAACCAAAATAATAACATGTCCCCTTGGTTTGTACATACAGTGATATCAAACGCTACTAATGGCAAAGGACCCTAAGTCCTCCACTCGCCGTGGGTGGCACTCGTCTGCAGTGCCCCAGGGGCCCTGTCTGAGCCCCGTCTTGCGTGTCTGCAGGGGACTCAGGCTTCTCTGAAGATTCTGGGGAGTGAGCGCCTACCCCCATCTGGCTCACCCCAGTCACCTCCAGCCAGGTTGCCACCTTGGCTTTCCCACTAGCGGTCACAGTGTGTGTTGGCCCCACCCCCTCTGTCCTGCCCCTCTCCAAGAGTGACAGAGGCCTCAGTGTCCCCCAGGCTGCAGCGTTCAGCTGGCTTCACGGAGGCTGATGACAGGCCGGGAGAAAGGAGACGGCGTCTGCTCGTGCTCCTGGTCTGTGCCAGCCCTTCAGTCTCCTGCGCCTTCTTCCTATGGGGCTGATGCCGCTCTCTTCCTCCAGACAAAGTGTCCCCTCCACACCTCCTGTCCCTGCCTTTGAGCCCCGGACACAGAACTGTTAACGCCCGCCCCCACCCCCCCCCCCGCCCCGGAAGAATCTGCATGTGGGGTATTTCACCTTGCAGGGCTTCCCCCAATGCTGGGGAAATACTCGCCTCGCATCTGCATGAATCGAGGGTAATGTCAGAGCAGGTCTTTCCAGGGGACCGAGTGCTTGCAGAACGCAAAGCCGGGCAGTTACCAAAAATGGACCACTAAGTGAAAACCAAACTCACCTATTTGGTGTGAGGTCTCCGTATAGAATCGGAGGTTCTCAGTTTTAAGTTTCTCTTCCATAAATGTTTTAAATTGTGGCAAAATACATGTCACATAAAATTTACCTTCTTCACCATTTTTAAGTGTGCATTCAGTGGTGTGGAGTTTCCCTTCCACCATTTTTAATACTTCGTTCCTTGTTCCCACCTGACCATTCTGCCTTCTTCTAGGAGGAAGAACAAAATGACCCACTCGCCTATTTTCAGTGGCTGTGTCTGTGCTCCCACAAACAGTGCCGTTGCCCTCAGGTGTTGTCACCTCGGGGACACGTCTGGAGGCCTCGCCAGGTGCAGCTTTGGACTCTGCCCAGGTCTGAAGTTGGCCCCATTTCCTAGCTCTGTGAATTCGGACGGGTGTCTTCAGTTTCCTTGTCCATAAAATCTGAGCAGCGAGACTTCCCTTGAGGGGAGGAGAAAAGGCTAAGACAGTGACGCCCAGAGAGCACCAGCCCCCCACCCTGGCCCCAGGAAAGCTCCATCTTGCTGTGACTGCCCTCGAGTGGTCATGAGTCGCTTCTTAGCCGAGCAGGAAGTGCTGAACAGGCTGAATCCTGTTAGAGGAGGTTAAAAAAATTAAAGCAACTCCAGCAAGGGAAACTGGGTGAAAACTACCCTGGCCTGAAGCCGATTGCTGACCTCCTGCTTCGCCAGGTTGACAAGGACTCTCCGTTTCCCCGTGTGCCTTCACTGAATAGGAAAGTCCCTGCAGGTGTGAGCTGAGACTCACAAAGAAGGTTGGGAGATAGCAGCCCTGGAAAAATAATTCCACCTATAAACACCTGTGTTAACAAGTGCTGTATTTGTACAGCGATTTTCTTTTTCAAATACTGTTTACACACACCTATTCTCTTACCCCACTCAGGTGTGCGTTGCATGGCATCTGGGGATCTGCTGGCAGGGGGCCAGCCTGCCCGTCGGAAATGTCTCCCCCCTCCGCCCGGCAGCTTGGGCGTGGAGGCCAGGCCTCCCCCTGGCCTGCTGAAGCTCTAGTGCTCCTGGGGTGACCACTGGGAGCACAGCCAAGTCCTGAGGAGTGTCAGGTCTGAGACCTCCGTGTAGCAGGAAGGGCCAACTTGGGACCCCCTAGGGGACAGTGACCCCAGCTGGATGAAAGAGGACACCTGCTCTTTTCCTAGCTGGCCCAGGTCACTTTGCATTTTCACACAGAGAGGAAATTTGAACCCCTCAACCACCTGATGACAACGGCAGCCATCCCGGGCACAGGAAGTGGGAGACACCGAAGATCCGACAATGACACCTTTAGAGATGTCGTGGGCAGGGGAAGAAGTCAGTTCAGTGCAGCTCTTTTTCATTCTACAAGAACTCTAGAATTTGTTCAGAATTGCATCTGACTCCATGGAAGGCCTTTGTATTAACTCATGTCTTACCCTGGTGAGTGGGCTCAACTCTAACGGCATGGGAGACTCCCAGGGACCTTTGGAATGTCTGATGCTCGGGCCCCGGGCCCAGGGATTCCGTCGCTTGACCTGGAGCAGGCCCGGCTCCAGTGCTTGGAGAGCTCCCACTCGCCTAACGCGTGGGGAGTTGTGGATAGCCTGGGACGCTTGCCTGTTTCTTTACTAGAACCCTGTCGTTTAGAATAGCTGTGCATTTACAGAAAAGTTGCAAAGATGGCACAGAGAATTCCCGACCCCCTCACTCCACAGTTTATTTGGGTTTTACGAGTGTCTGCTAAGTCTCTTTTCTACCCCAAGATCCCTCCCTACATTTGGTTGTCAGGCCTCCGTGGCAGCCCCTGGTCTGCGACTTTCCTTGCTTTGGACCACCTTGACGGTGTCGAGGGCCGGGGTTTGTAGACTGCCCCGTGCTGCGGGCTCGTGTGGTGTTCTTCTGACCCTCAGACTGGGATACTGGGTCCTGGAAGGAAGACCACAGAGGCGAAGTGCCATTTCCATCACGTCGTGTGCAGGGCCCGTGCTGTCACCTGACTTGTCACTGTTGATGTGGCCTTGATCACTGGGCTGGGGCCGTGTCTGTCAGGGTTCTCTGCTGTGAAGTGACACCCGCCCCCACCTGTCCTCTCAGAGGCCCGACACAGAGCGTGGCCTGCACCGTGGTGGGAGGGTGGCTCCACTCCCCCCTCTTGGAGGGGGCAGTGTCTACATAAATTATTTGGAATTCTTCTGTAAGGGTGAATTGTCTCTTCTCCTGGTTATTTATGTTTTCAATCATTTGTTTATGTTGGTGTGGAAGCGTAGACATTTATTTTAAACTCTGGGTAATAATCCAATGCTACGTCATTTATTTTGTGGCTCGTATTGACCTGGTTTTGGCACCGCGAGCTCTTTCAGAAGGGCTCCTGTGTCCCTCTGACATGCCTCTGTCCTCTTGGTTTTCAGGCACTTTCTTACTTAAGAAGCCAGGCACCGGCTTTACTGAACACCTGCTGGCTTCTGTTTTAGGCACTTTATTTGCATTTTCATTGTTTAATAATAACCATCCATTCCTTTCGTTAGCACACACTCTCTCTCTTTCTCCCCTACCCAGTTTTCACTCTTGTCCCAGGAGCGGTGTCACCGATAGTGGAGGGACTCGGCTGGCAAGTCAGGAGGCCGAGGATGTACCCCAGCTCTGCTTCTCACCAGCTGGGTGAACTTGAGCAAATTCCTTAACATTCGCCAGCCTCCAGTCTCTGATCTATGACACGGAGACAGCACTGCCTAGCTCAAAGGAGCGTTGTGGGTAGTAGACACCAGTGTAGACAGTGCTTGACACAAGGAGGGGTGCTCATGTAAGTAGCTCAGTCATTCCTGGCCCTGGCTCTATCCCTAAGCGACTGTGTGACCATTGTGACCTCTTTGAACCTCAGTTTCCTTATCTGTAAAATCAGGGGACTAGACCAGACGGTCTCAGAAGAACCACCCAACCGTCCTGAGGTTCCACGTGGGCCCAGGTGCACCTGGCTGGTGGGGATGGGAGAGTTGGGGAGAGAGCTAGACAGGGGCCAGCAGCCCAGCCCGTGGCCAGCCCCAGGCTCGTATCAGAATCAATTTTGCGGATCTGCTAATTAGGGAAGATGGCCTTTTACCCTAGAAGACAAAAATTAACCCTGTAAATGTAACCTGCATGTCTGGGCTGAGCAACCCCGCCCACCCCCGCCCCAATATGTGTTTCAGCTCTTAGCATGCCCTGGCTGGCTGGGCATAGGCTGGTGATCATAAACCAGTCCGATCTGATAGAATGTCAAATATGTTTGTTTTCATTGGTACACAACTATGCACGTGTGTTTCATATGTTCTTAGATATCTGTTCTTCCATCTCTTTGTGTCTCTCTCTACCCAGCAGTGGCATTTGTCAGCTTCTGTTGACAAGTGGGATTGGGGCTGGGGTGTGAGGCTGGGTTTCTGGTGAGAATTTCTGAGGTTGGTTACAGGTGCTGAAACCAGGGGCCGGAGCCTGGCAGTAGGTGGGGTGTGGCCCTCACTGCGTTTCCTGTGGGAGCTGGGCCTCAGTCAGTCATGTGGGCCAGTTCACCAGAGCAGGAAAGGGACAGATCAGGAGGGCCAGCTCTGGAAACAGCGCCCGGGTAGGGCAGGGCTCGGGGAGCGGACCTGGGTGCCCACAGCTCCTCTGGTCTGGCATGGGCAGGGGGGACGGGGATGGGCGGGAGGGAGAGTCTGCTTAGAGCAAGTCTGGGTTTCAGTCTCAGAGGAACAAGGCTGAATGCCACTCACCCAAACTAGGTCACAGGTTAGGGGGAGCCCAGGGCTCGGGCCTGGTGGTGGGTGCCCCAGCATTCAGGGCTGGGAAGGGGAGTGGAGGAGGAAGAGGGGAATCCAAGTGTGAGCCTTGGTGATGGTGGCCCTGGGGAGCAAAGGGGTCTCAGAAGTTCCAGTCAAGGGAGCAAGAGGCAGCAAGGACAGGACCCAAGGTGGAAAGTCTAGTGGTCTTCCTCTCCTACAGGTTACTGCACAAACTACCGCTCAGGTGTTCTCACCCATGGGCAGAGAGACGCATCTACTAGGATGTTTGTGGGGGTCTTGTTTGTAACAGGATAGAATTGAAACAATGAAAGTGTCCATTAGCAGGGGACCTAGGGTATCTGTAATGTATATCAACACAGAGTGAGATACTCTGGGGATATTGGAAAGGAAGAGGTAGGCCTGTAGGAATTGGTACGGAAAACATTGCAAATACGTGTTGTGAGTGAGAAAAGCCAAGAGCAGAGCACAGAGAATAGTAGGCACCATTTGAACAAAAGTAGATCTACAAATGATGCTTGTATATTGTATCAATTAGGATGGGTTCTCCTGCAAGGAATAAAAAACCCAGCTAACAATGGTTAAAAAAATAAGGGTTTATTTTTTTCCTGTAACCCCACATCTGGAGGGAAGCAGTTGCTGCTTACCAAGCTTCTTTTCTGTGCCAGCTTCACGAAACTTGTTGGCTTTTTAATCCTTACACGTTTTTCCTCATGGTCCCCAAAAGGCTGCTGCAGGTGTGAACATCACATCCAAGTACAAAGAATGAAGAAGGGGACCGGACAGGACCAGAAACGATTGTCTTTTCTTAAAATCTGGAAATTGAGAGGTTCTCAGATGCCTCTCTGTTCCCTCCTGCCCCCACCAAGGGCCAACTCACGTCCACATCTCATTGTCTACGACAGGGTCACATGCCCGTCGCCAACCCCAGGGGCAGGGAAGGCTGGGAAAGCAGGGGTCTGGCTCTCCAGTCACTATAGCAAGGAAAGAGAGTCTGAAAAAGCTGTCACATTAGCCAGTCAATAGGGTCTGCCCTGTGCCTGCAAAGGACTTGGTGGGAAGGGTCCCCTGGGGCTCTTGATAGTGATGCCTCTGGGGAACAGGCTGTGGGATCTGAGATGGTAGAGTGGCTTACTTTTTTCATTATATATCTTTTCATGCTCTGACTTTCTTGTTACCATGTGTATGTGGGACTTTTTCAATTAAAAAAACTTAGTAATTAAAATCAAAAGCAAGCATCGTGAAATGCAGAGGGTGCAACGTGCCAGGCTGAGAGAGGCGATTCAGGAGACGGGGTCTGGGGAGAGCCCTGAGGCTCCTTCCTGTCTGTGGGGGCACGGCCATTTATGGGCTCCTGAGGCTGAGTCCGTGGGTGAATGGGCTGATGATGGGCGTGAGGGAAGACCCTTGTGCTTGGCACCTGGGGGGTGGGAATGGGGGTGGAGCTCGCCCAGGACTGCACCTGGAGTGGGGAGAGAGGGGAGGCAGGGGCAGGGGGGCTGGGAGAGTCGGGTCCCCCATCTTTCAGCCGTTTACTTACTGGGTGTCTCCGACTTTCTAGCTGCCTCGTCTTCCAGAGGGCAGTGTTGAAACCACCTTCTCAGGAAAATCCCTTCGTTCCTTGCTCTAGACTGATGCGTGTTTCTAACTCTGCTCACCAGCTGGACATGTGTCTTTGACGACACAGCATGAAGTGGAAATGGGAAGATGGTCTGAATCAGTCCTTGAATCAGATGACTGCGATGAAACTGGAAGAGAGTCACAGAGGCTGATGTCACTTACGCTGGGCAGGAGGGTGGGCCCAGAGACGAGGGAAGGCCAGCGGCGCAGGCCAAGGCCACCGGAGGGAGTCTTTCCCCATCTGATGAGTTGTCTGTAATGGCCCTGTGGGGGGTCGTGTCATAGCTGGACTAAGGACAGGACTTGCTCTGTGGACCAGGGAATCGGAGACCCTGGTCTCGCCCTGGTTTTAAAATTGAGCCCCTGTTCTCCATTCATCTATCTACAGGTGGTTCTTCCCTCCAGAAGTCTAAGACGGGAGAGAATTTAGTATGAGCCCCTGGACTTTTCCTTAGCAGAGGCTCAGTCTGTACCAGGTGTATGTGATTTGCTTGTGTGTGCAAGAGAAAGCACAGCGTCGCGTGAATCCTGATGCTCACGAATAGAACCGCCAGCTGAGGCTGACACTCCAGTGCCTCCCTGACAGTGTATCGGGACCAGTCATAGAGTCAGGAAGGACTTTATAGAGATTCATAGATTTTTCAGGTAGCCAATCCTTAAACTCACAGAGCACACAGATTGTCTAGATCTGAAAACCTAAAGGCAGATGTATCAGTCAGAGCTCATTGCAGGAAACGGAAACCATTCTAGAAATATTAAGTGGAAAGAGTCTTAATACAGAGAATTTTGTCTTTACAAAATGGTTGCAAAGGCTGAAGGAGCAGGTTCTCTGCTGGGCCGCTGGAAGGACTCCGAGAAGAATACAGACCCGGCCCCTGGGAGAGCTGCTGCCTCTGAGACTTCCCGAGAGAGGGGCTGCTGCGGCTCCTGCTGCTCCTAGAGAACGCTGCCCAAGGCCCCAGTCCGATCCCGGGATCAGGAAGGCGCGAGCTGGGGAATGGAGACTGTGAGGTTGCTGCTGGAAACCCCGCCTCTCTGCGACCTAATTTGCAGCAGCGACCGTCAAGCTTTGCAGGAAGAGGGCATCTGGCTCACGTCCGCCTTCTACAGGTGTCCTTTGGTGCAAGCTAATTTGCATCCAGAACCCTAGCTGCAAGGAGGCCTGGGAAATGCCTCCCAATTCTTGCATCGGACAGAAGGAGAGGTCAAGTGGGCCATTCGAGAGAGTCCGGCTCACAGGTCAATGCCAGTGGGTGCTGGATGGCTTAAGTGGATTGATGCAATATTGACTCTTCAGGAAAAGTTTGACTCAGAAACGTGTTACACGTTGGGTGGTAAGTTCTGGAAAGCATCCATTTCTCCCAATTTCCACATGTGATACTAGATGCTTCTGGTCTCAGCTCTGTGGTATTTTGATATGTGGCCTTGAACAAGCCTCAGTTGCCCCATTTGTAAAACAGTGATGTGTGACAGGCCTGAAGGTGGCTTCCAGCTTCGGGCTATTTCTCACGGTATCATTTGGCGCACACTTTGGGTCCTGAGCTGGGCAAATCTTATAAGCACTTCTATGAACAGCCACTCTTTGTTCCTGGGGTTTCCAGACATCGAGTGCACTTCCCTGGGGGCTTTTCTGAGAGCTCGTGAGGATCAAAGAGAATTAGGAGGAAGAAAAACTTGTGGAAAGCTTGGTAAAGCCCAAGCAAAAGTGGCTTGTTGCCCCAGCACCAATGTCTGCTGTCGGATGTGGGGCTTCGTAATTTGCAAGGCCCTGTGCCATTTGCTGTTCCCAGCAGTGGCCTCTTTGCGGATGAGGAAACTATGGCTTGGCCAGCTCTGTGACATTAGGGACGATGCTTCAGAGAGCACATGACTGGTGGGGCAAGGGGGAGAACACATGTCCCAGGGCTCTGCCAGCGATCAGAAAGGGCACTGTTCCCTGGGGACTCCACCAGTCCCTAGCTGGGCTCTCCACAGAGAGGGGAATCGAGGGTTGGGGATGAGATGAGACCCTCTTCTGCCTCTCTATCCATGGGCTCAGTGCTATGCCAGTAAATGTTTAACAACCGACCAAAAAAAAAAAAAAAAAAAAAAAGAGACAAAATAAAAAGCCATGTTTGCCCATTTCTGTCGTGTAAATACTCACACCATGCCCATTCCAAACTACCTATGAGACATCACCAAGGGCATATCTAGGAATGATGCTCACATTTGGCTTTAGTGATGCGGGGAGGGCTGCCCTAGGTGGTCCGCCGAGATGCCTATTGGTGAAATCTCTCATTATTCATGAGAGAAGTGGTGGAGAGTGACTGACCAGCCTGAGGATCACGGAGACCGAGGGGAACACAGGCTGCCGGGCTTAATGGGTCCTGCCCCGAGGAGGCAGTGACATCACCCTGAGGCAGGAGATGGTCTGAGCTCATTCGTTGACTGTTCTCCAGAAGGAATGGTTTTCGGGTACCAGCCTAACCACTTCTTATCCACTGCCAGTGACCGCAGGGACTGGTCCAAGGCCACACAGCTGGTGCCTACCCATCCTGAGGCTCTCACCTCAGCTCTGTGAATAAGCCCTCATTTCTCAGAGGCCTCAGAGGGAGGGATGCTCGGCAGCTCTCCTTCCCCAGCAGGCCAGAGGGAAAAAGTAGGGTGTTGACCCGAGGCCTGGAGAGGACCCCCAGACTCTCAGCCCACCTGGAGTCATCTCCGCACTCCCCTGGCCCCGCTGGAAGCTCACTCTCCCTCACCCGTGGCCTGTTCTCCCTCTCTTCCCTTCTTCCAGACCCAGGAAGGAGCTAGTGTCCCAGGGCATGCAGGGGACATTCAGGGATTGCCCTGGGATTGTTGGAGAGAAATCCCTTCCACCACTGTGGCTGAGCGCGGCTGGCGCTGGGCCGGGGGGAGCCTGAGGAGGAAGTACGATGACCCCCGGCCACGCACCTCTGTGGCTTGTCACGGAGGACTCCAACAGGAAGTGACTCTTCACGCAGGGGGACCCATGCGTGCCCTTTGGAACTTGTCCCCACCTCACCCTTTAAAGAATTCAAGCAAAATCACAGAAACAATCCAAAATGGCGAATTGGTTAAAAATACAGATGCTGGAGCCAGATTGTCTGGCTTGGAACCCAGGCTGCACCAGGTCCCAGCTGTGTGATATCAGGCAACTGTCTTCTCTCTTCTCCACCTCAGGGTTTTCGTCTATAAAATGCTAATAACAATAGTTAATAAGACCGACCTGTAAGGCTGTTGAGAGGATTAAATGGTTAGAGCCACCGTAACCACGTGGGCTGGTGTGTGTATAGCCCTGACACAGTCGGAAATCAATAGCTATCAGCTGTTCAAGTATTATCGATATTGTAGTTGGTGGCCTCTGAGTCCTGGGGTTTCTTTAAGTCTTTGGGGGTTTTGGGTTGTTTGGAGGGAGAAATTGTGCTTGTCATCCTGCCTGCCTGCCGGGATCCTCCATGCTGGCCCTGTGCAAGCAACGAGGGACAGACACATGCTTAATGGCAGTGATGGTGCGTTCTTTCATGGCAGGCTGGAGGAGGCACCTCCCTGATGTCTCTTTCTCTTGCACCATTGCACCCTTGGGAATGTTGCCTTCATGACCCCCAGGGGCATCCACGGTCTGGGGGAAGATGCTGAGGAGCAGAGTTCCGATGGACCTCGGTTCAACTGGACTTAGAATTCCAGATCTGCCACTACCAAGCTCTGTGACATTGAGCAGGTGACTTCACCTCTCTGAGCCTTGGTTTCCTATCCATAGCAATGAAAGGAACTGTAGTTATTGATATTAATATTGGTCGCGAGAAGGAGGGAGGCATAATTGTAAATATTAAATGAGATCGTGGGAATGTCCCAGGCCCAGGGTGGGAACACAGTCTCTCAAATCTTAGTGCCAAAGTGGGTTATGTGGTTTAGGCAATTATGTCCTTTCATTCTCATAAAAGCCTGTGAGCAGTCACATTTCTTAGTAACCCAGTGTACAGATGGTCTGATGGAGGCCGAGGGCCATGCCACCTGCCCAGGGCCGTAGAGTGCGGCCACTGCTGAGTGGGTGTCAGCCGGGCTCTGCTCCGAGCTCAGAGCTGCCCAGGAGCTCTGCCAACTCCTACTGTGCCTTTCCTTTCTTTCTGCCATGTCTGAGGAACTCAGCCCAAGAACCACCAGCCACAGTCCTGAATGGGCCCTTTCTTCCTTGAGGACACCTGGATGGAGGCTGGGGCGCCCGGAGGTGGCAGAGTGACAGCAGGTGGAGATGGTTTCTGTTTGCCTCTTGGTTCTCAAGTGTTTCCTCTGATAACATTCATAGCGAGCCGCACTGCTGGACGTTTACAGCCCACCCTGAGGGCCGGAAGTGCCCTGGCCACGGAGGAGAAGAGGAAAGAGGAGGAGGGGATGGATGGGAAGGAGGAGGGGCAGGAATAAGGGGCAGCAGGAGAGGCGGCCACGGCCTAGTGGCTGAGCAGGGCCTGAGCGCACTGTTCCTGAAGGCGTTTAGAAAGTCTAGCTTTCTCCACCAGAGCTTCCTTTGGGCTAAGAAATTCCCGAGACATTTGCAATGTAAAGGGCGGCCGACCTCCGTGACGCAGGGGATGAGATACCATCAGAACGAGAGTATATTTAGAAGACAGGAAATGAGCCCTCCAGCCTGCCCTTGACTTCGAGCAGGCGTTTTGCCTTGTGAGCACCCGGAGTTGACCGAGAGGCTGCAGGGCAATGTGAGAGGAAATCGTTCTGGCTGTGCTGAGGCGCCCATTTCTTCCCTTTTTCTCCTCCCACCCCTCTTTCTGTTTCCGTGCTTGCAGGCTTGGCTGGGGTTGTCCCAAAGTGATGGGGAGAAATGACATTTTGCTAGGAACTGAGTCATTTTGCTGGATTTTTTCAGCCATGTCCCTGATTAGTAAACCTGTCTCAAGAATGGGAAAATGCACGGGGCTATTTTTAAGTGTTCTCAGCATCAATGATCCTAATTCCTAGAACAGACATCAATGGCCTTTCTAGTCTCAAGTGTAGATAAACACTTAGCAGCTGTGTGACCTTTGGCAAATGAGCCTTGCTGAGTGTCAGTTTGCTCATCTGTAAAATGGGGCTAAGACTCCCTCCCTCACAGGCAGAGGATGAAATGATTGTGGGCACCCACTCCCTGCCTCCTTGCAGTGTGTGGTGCCTGTGGGCATTCAGTATGCTGAGGGTTCCTCTTGTTATTTCTACGATAAGACACTGTTCCAAGACCAGCATGGGGAGTGGGTGAATTCGCCCATGTGCCAAACACAGGTGTGTTTATCAGTTTAAAATCCACCTTTGCTCACCTAGTGGGGGTATCAAACTGAATCTTGTGCTTAAATCAGCAGCCAGGGGAAAAGTTGGCAGCTTCCTCTAGTAAATCAACATTTGCCCAGCTCCTCTGTGCCAGCCCTGTGAGGGCAACTAGAGGGAGAGAGATGCCACACGGCCATGGCCGGGGGACTCTGTCCCAGGTGGAGACGGACACACAAATGATGACAAGAGCAGTGGTGAGAGCGGTGAGGGCAGGGGGCACCTAACTCAGAATGGGGACTTTGGGAATGGCTTCTCTGGGGATCTCATTGTCCGTTATTGAAATCCAAGGACACTCCAGGATGCAGTGGAATTAGAAGGACGAAGACAGTTAGGGCGTTTTTATAGGTGTGCTTGGTGCAGACGCTCTCTCAGAGTAAACTGTGTGGAATACATTCCATTCCAAGAGAGACACGTCCATGTGTCTAATATAAATGTCACTACTCTCAGTGTCATTTTCGCTGAGTACTAGACGCCATGCACAGGGCTTTGCTCATTTCATCTTCACAGCAGCTCTGTGTCCACTTGCCTAAGGTCTTACAGTGGAGAGAGGGCAGAGCTGGGATGTAAACAGAGCTCTGTGACATGTCCCTTCCCGTCACCAAGGCCCCTACGTGCGTGCATCCTTCCTGACTCAGACCTGACCGGCCACCGTGCAGAGGGGCGATTTTGCTGTGGTCACTTATTGCTCCAAATTGGCTATAACGAGATGGATGTCCTAATGATAATTCCTCTGTTGGTGAGGGCTGCTGGAGGACAAGAGTGTTGCCCTGCGTGCCGACAACAGTTCTCTCTGGAGTGGGACTCCCCAGGGCCCTGGAGAGCAGGGCTCTCTTGTCGCCTTTGCTCTCCATCTCCAACAGTTTTGGGTGGTGGGGCGGTGCGCAGGCCTGCTCATTCCTCAGCAGCTGCCTCTGGGGTGGAAGCCTCAGAGCCCACAAGGTCTCTGGTCCCTGGTCTGGCGTGGTTGTCAGCAGCTCAGGCTAAGGCTGGGAGACTGCGCCAGCCTCTGTGTGAAGGGCGGGGTGCTCAGGGGCCCACAGGAGGCTCACCTGGGCAGCGTGTGCCAAGAGCAGAGTGGGGTCAATCTGGCTGTGGAATGTCCAATGTGCTTAAAGAAAATACTTTTTTTAAGAACTTCAGCAGATTTATTGCTCCTCTGCAATATAATTCAATGTGTCCTATTATATGAACTTATGTGAAATATAATACACAATTAGGTACACAATAGTGCCCCCTTACCCTCAGGGGATATGTTCCAAGACCCCTGGTGGATGCCTGAAACCACGGATGGCACCAAACCCTCTATATACTACGTTTCTTCCTATTCATACACCTATGATAAAGTTTAATTTATAAATTGAGCACAGTAAGAGATTGACAAAAATAACTCGTAATAACATAGAAGCATTATAACAATATACTGTAATAAAAGTTACCATAGACCTTAGCAACCTCAGCGTATGGTTTTTCCCTTTCCTTTTTAAGTTGAGAACTTTCACATTTTCACTTAGAGGAAGTGCTCTTCAGCTGCTCCTTGGCATATCCAAATTGCCACCATCACCACTCTTGTATTTTGGGGTCATTATGAAGTAAAATAAGTGTGACTTGAACACAGCACTGTGATACTGCAACAATCGATCTGATAACCGAGACGGCTACTAAGTGACTAACGGGCCGATAGCGTATACAGTGTGGATCCGCTGGACAGAGGGGTGATTCACGTCCTGGGAATTTCATCACACTGTGCAGAACAGTGTGCAATTTAAAACTTATGAA